TGGGTATTCAAAAAGATTGGTATTTGTTTCTGGGTTTTTAAGAAGAGAAAGAAAGAAATGAAGCCTGTTTCTGGGATTTTTGTTTCCAGTCAATTGTATACTTTTTGCTTGTGCCAAGGAAATACCTCCCGCTCATATTAGAAAACGAAAAAAAAAAGAAAAAGAGCAATTTTTGTTTGTTGAGTATTTCATTAGAAAACTAAAAGGTTTTTTTTTTTTTTTTATAAATTACCTCCTAAACCTAAATCTTTACCATACTACTGTAAAATTACCATTTTAAGTGTTTTCCTGCTTGCTTTAATAGTTTTTCTTTGTTAATCCAAACATCTTGTTAGCTGTAGTATTAGAAAACAGTGCCTAAAATGAACCTTTAGTCTCTCACGGTTGCAAAATTAGTAAGTTTTAATTCTTAACCCTATAATATGATACTTTTAATTTTTTATATTATAAAGATTATAACCCTTACCTTACAAAGTTGATAAGCTTTAGTCTCTCACCTTATACTATGACATTTTTAGTCTTTTATCTTTACGAATTAAAGAAAATAATCTTTACTTAATATCGGATTATAATGTTCTGTTAATTTTATTATCTGATTGTTAGTTATGTTAGTTGATTGTTAGCATCTGGTAGTATTTTGTTAATTGAACTAATAAATAAAATTGAATTTAAATTTCATGTTTTTTATAACAAAATGCTAATAGATGTTAACAGTTAGTTAATGAATATTAATAATCAGTTAATAGAACTAACAGAATATTATAATATGATATTAGGTGAAGGTTATTTTCTTTCATTCGTATAAGTGAGGGGTTAAAAATATCATAATATAAGGTGAGTGGTTAAAATCTACTAACTTTATAAAGTAAAAAATTAAAAGTATCATATTATAAGGTAAGAGATTAAAATTTATTAATTTTGTAAGGTAAATGGTTAAATGTTGATTTTTACCGAAAATAGGGTACTATTCTCTATCTAAGCTGCATTTTTAAGTCAAAGGCTATAAACTTTTTTTTTATTAGTACAATAATTTCTCATTGGCTAGCTTTCGTTATTGTTGTTTAAAAATTTCGTAATATAAGTTGAAATTATATTATTATTACCGGATAAAAGTCTATATTAACTTCCCATGCTCTTTTCCTTTCCTCCAGTCAACTGTGCCTGCTCGAAGGAGGAGTATTATACGCACTTTAGAATTCCAGTGCCATGCGTAGTTTGTATTACTACTTTTCCGGCTGTTGGAATAGACCGAACGTTGACTCAAGCTCAAAAGGAGTGTTATTTCTGATCGATTGTCCGCTTGAGCTGGTGAAACAGCCCAAAATTACCCACAAACCCTGAATAAATGGACGCTTTAACATCCAGTCTTGCTGATGTGATGGTCTCTACTCTCTTCGATTTTATTTCTGATCGATTGTCTGCTTCGGAGTTTCTCAACTTTGCCCGGAAAGAGCAGTTTTTGTCCCAACTCAACATGTGGAAGAATCTTCTGCCCAAAATCAATGCCCTGCTCCATGACGCACTACAAAGCCACAACGCCAGTCATGCCCTCAAACTCTGGCTCTCTGATTTAAGACACCTTGCTTACGATGCTGAAGACATCATTGATGAAATTGACACCGAGGTCCAGCGCCGGAGATTACTAGGACACACCCAATTTGGCACCACCAGCAAGGTACGCTTCTTATTTCCGCCATGTTGTGCTGGTTTCAATTCAAGTGGCATTAAGTTTAGCGGGCGGCTGGGGGCAGAGATGAAAGCTATCACTGCTAGATTTCAACTGATTCTTGAGCAAAAGAATATTTTGAATTTGGTGGATAGAGGTGGTCAAGGGAGATTGGACACAAAAAAGGAAAGGCTGCGCTCTTCTTCTTCTCTTGTTGATGAATCTCGGGTTTTTGGCAGGGAACAGGATAAACAAGTCATTCTTGAATGGTTAATGGATGGTAAAACTGGTGTGATTTCAATTGTCGCAATGGGCGGCGTGGGCAAAACCACACTTGCTCAGTTAGTTTACAACGACGGTAGAATTGAAAACCTTTTTGAGTTGAGAGTTTGGGTTTGTGTATCTACGGAATTTGATGTTATTAGAGTGACTAGGACTCTGCTGCAAGCTCTTACTTTGGATAGTCTCAATTCCAAGGACTTCAATTCGCTTCAAGTGAAACTAAAGGAGATGCTTTCTGGAAAGAAGTTTTTGATTGTTTTGGATGATGTTTGGAATGAGAACTATGGGCAATGGGAGGATCTGCGAACACCCTTTGTGGCAGGAGCACCTGGGAGTAAAGTACTTGTAACCACTCGAAATGAAAGGGTTGCACGCATCATGACCACATATCCAGTGTACCATTTGCCGGTGTTGTCTAACAATGCTTGCTTTTCGTTGTTTGTCACACATGCCCTTGGTGCTAGTAATTTTGATGAACACTCGAATCTAAAAGGAATTGGTGAAGAAATAGTGCGCAAGTGCAAAGGCGTACCACTGGCAGCCAAGACTTTGGGTGGGCTTCTGCGTGGTAGAGTAAATTCTGATGAGTGGGAAGATTTGTTGAGGAGTGAGATGTGGGACATACCAGAAGAAAGGAGTGGCATCCTTCCTGCTCTGATGTTGAGCTATCATCATCTTCCTTCCCATTTGAAAAGATGCTTTGCCTATTGCGCTATGTTTCCAGAGGACTATGAATTTGACAAGAATGACTTGGTTCTACTATGGATGGCTGAGGGGTTCATACAACAAGCAAAGGGAGAAAAACAAATGCAAGACATTGGTCTTGAATATTTTAATGATTTAGTTTCAATGTCTTTTTTCCAACACTCAAGTAGCAGCAAAAATCTATTTGTTATGCATGACCTTATAAATCATCTAGCTCAATTTGTTGCTGGAGAAATATGCCTTCATTTTAAGGATACCTTTGAAGACAAGCCGCATACACTTATTGCGAAGCTTCGTCATTTGTCATTCACTCGCCACCAATATGAGATTTCCAAAAGATTTGAAGCATTAGATCGCATGCAGTGTTTGCGGACTTTCATAGCATTACCAATAGATACATCATCTCGGGCAGCATGTCATTACATAAGTAAAAATGTGTTACAGAAGTTGCTGGCAAACTTAAGATTCTTAAGGGTGCTATGTTTGAGTGGATACTGTATAGATGAAATACCATATTCTATTGGTCATCTGAAGCATTTGAGGTACCTTAATTTGTCTCACAGTACAATTAAACAGTTACCAGAATCTGTGGGTAGCCTATTCAACTTACAAACGCTTCTATTGCGAGGCTGCAGGGAGCTTGCTAAGCTGCCACAAGGTATTGAAAATCTAATTAACCTTCTTGTCCTTGATCTTACTGATACTGAGAAATTAGTGGAGATGCCATTGCAAATAGGCAAGTTGATAAAGCTTCAGGTTTTGCCCAAATTCTGTGTTGGAAAGGACAGTCAGTTTGGCAATATTAGCGAATTGAAGGACTTGTTACATTTAAAAGGGGAGCTTTCTATTACTGGGTTGGAAAATGTGGTGAATGTACAAGATGCTAGGGATGCTAATCTAATGGACAAGCATGGTATTGATGGCTTATGTTTGAAATGGAGTAGTGAGTTCCTTGATCACCAAAAGGAAGAAGGAGAAATGCTTGTTCTTGATATGCTAAAACCTAATAAGAATCTGAAAGAACTTACAATTTCATTTTATGGTGGTAAAAGATTTCCATCATGGTTAGGAGACCCCTCATTCACTAATATTGTGCGCATGAGCCTCAATAACTGCAGTAAAAGCATGTCACTTCCATCACTTGGGAGACTGCCATCATTGAAGAAGTTGTTCATCCGAGGCATGAATGGAGTCAAGGAAGTGGGTCTTGAGTTTTATGGAGATGATTTGCCTTATACTGAGAGGTTTCTGTCCTTGGAAATTCTGTGGTTTCAGAATATGTTGGAATGGGAACATTGGTCTTCCACTCATAAAGGTGATGAAGATTTAGCTGATGAATTTCCTTCTCTTCATGAGCTCATGATAAAAGATTGTCTAAAGCTGACTGGGGGCTTACCAAGATGCCTTCCTTCCCTTGTGAAGCTTATCATTAGTCACTGCCCAAAGTTGGAGGGTTCACTTGTGAGCCTCCCCTCCCTTTGTGAATTAAATATTGAAGACTGCAACAAGGAGCAACTGAAAAATTTTGTTCACCTCACTTCCTTAATAACACTGAGAATCCGAAGTATTAGGGACCTTGCATGTCTGCCGCAAGAGATGCTAGAGTCTCTAGGTGCACTTCAAACCCTTGATGTTTCCAATTGCACTGAACTGACATCTCTGTGGCAAAAGGGTACCAGACTGAAAAACATTGTTTCTCTTGAGCATCTAAAAATTAAGGGCTGCTCCAAATTTGTGTCTCTCATAGAAAATGAGCAAGGTCTTTATAGTAGTTTAGAAGATAATGAGTTGATCAACTATGGCAACTTGGAGAAACTGACTCTCAAAAGTTTGCAAATTGAATCATGCCCAAAACTTGTATCATTTCCCGAGACAGGTTGCTTGTCCACACTTAGACATCTTAAGCTGAAAGATTGTGTAGCTCTTAAGAACCTGCCTGATTGGAAGATGATGCTTAATTGCAGGACTAGTGATTGTCTTCTTGAAGACTTGGAGATTGAGAAATGTCCTTCCCTGACATGCCTTCCAGGAGGCAATATGCTTACCAGGTTGCAAAGGTTGAAAATCCGAAATTGTACAAATTTGCAGTCTCTACCAGAGGGAATCATGCAGAAAAATAACGACACACACATGCGGGATCTTAAGAGCTTGGAGATTGATAACTGTCCATCTTTAATGTGCTTTCCTGAAGGCATATTACCATTTAGTCTTAAAACACTGAAAATTTGTGATTGCTCAAAGCTGGAGCCACTTTCAGAGTGGCTGCTGCACAACAATGCATCACTTGAATACATCTATATGCGGAGCTATACAACTCTCAGAAGTTTGCCAGAATGCCTATATAGCCTCACACATCTGACTGAGTTAACTATAAGTAGTTGTCCAGCTTTAACCTCCTTTCCAGAGGCAGGCCTCTCACCCACTTTGAAAACCTTAGAAATCTACAGTTGTGCCAATCTCAAATCTCTACCTGAGAGGATGCAAAATCTTGCTTCTCTTCATTATCTAACAGTTTGTGACTGTCCATGTCTTGTGTCATTTCCCAGAGGGGGTTTGTCCCCTCAACTCTTGGTACTGGAGGTCTGGGATTGCATAAATTTGAAGGAGCCAATGTCAGAGTGGAACCTACACTCTCTAGTCTCTCTTAAAGAGCTCATCATTGTTGGTGCACCGGATACAGCTTCCTTCCCTGATGAAAAGTGTCTGCTTCCTACAACTCTCACTTCTATACTCATTTCTGGACTCAACAGTTTGGAATCTCTATCCGCAGAACTACTAAACCTGACCTCTCTTGAAGAGCTAGAAGTCAAAGATTGTCCAAAGCTTCGAGAGTTGCCAACGGAAGGAATGCCTGCAAAACTTGGAAAACTTTGTATCAGAAACTGTCGACTTCTACAGCAATGCTTAAAGAACAAAGAAGCATATTGGCCGTTGATAGCCCACATTCCTTGTATAGAAATAGATGGTATCTCTTCTTGTTTTCAGTTATGTTCAGATAAACTTTTGTTGGACTACCTTTTTATCAGCCTCTTGCTGGACTACTTAATCCTTGTTGTAATGGACTCTGCACTGCATTGGCAGATTAAATTCAAAGATGACCCAGCATTGAACTGTTGCAAGTGGGCAGTTTTTTGTATCAAATGGTAGGAGACTGGTGGTGATGGATTCACGCAGGAGGAGGAGAACCAGGGAGTCCTTTACCTTTGCTCAGACTGGGTGTTACAGCTCACTACGTACAGGGGGAATATCGAAGGCTTTTGGGATACAGAGGAAACGCATTTTCTCCAGCAAAGACTTAACAGGATATTGGCATCATGTAATAACTTTGGTTTGCTGTTGGGTTTCTGCTAAGAGAAATTAAAGATTCCGGGCGAGTTGCCTAATTAATGTCTACATTGGCTATACCCTACTGATACCATTATACTCAAAATATGCTAAACAAGATCTTTGAACTGGACAAGAGGGGAGATTTGTTTGTGACAGTTGAGAATTTTGCCATTGCTGTTACACTAGGTATGGTCAGTTTCCAGTTTGTAAATGTCATCTTAAATCCTTCAGGCCTCCATTAACTTCTAATTAATGTAATCTTATGCTTCTCCAGTTTTCAACATCTCTTCTGCGGTCAGTTGTCATTGGCATTTACCTGGGTGCTGTTTTGTTTGTTGTTGGAAGGCAAGTCTGGAGAAAGTTTGGGGGAAAGATATAATGCATGTTTGGCAGCTTAAAACTGGAGGACCACTTGTTAGGGAATGGGTAAGTCATCTTCAGCTCCCTGAAATTTCCAACTTCTGTATGTTGGCTGACACTCATTGCCTCACAATGAGCAGAAGCAACCATAAAAATTTTTTTACACATGCTTGGTACTTGTATCAGTAAATAAACAGTACAGCTGAATTTGTTCAAGAGAGAGCTACAAGATTGGATAATCCTTACCTCTCTAGGGACTCTTCTACCTGAATTTATGCTAACGTCAGAGGAGTTTGGAAGAAAGTATCTGCAGTTTTGACACATCCCCTGAGTTCTGTAAGCTCTGTTTATTGTTATCTACAGCCAAATAGAATATATCTCTGTTATTTCTAACAGTTTCTGGTATTTAATCATGGAATATAAATTTCAATTTCTTCAACTAGAATTATCTCTACTCCCTCAATGGAGAAATGTTTTAGAAAATAAATTCGTAGAACTTTCTCTAATGTAACACCGTTGAGAAAACAGAGCAGAAAATCAGATATTTCTTCTAGGACCCGGCATAGTTGTTCGAGTGAGGAAATGCTTGATCAGTAAACGAGCTCTTATGGGTTGAATAGTTAGGCAACCTTGGACTGAAGGAGTATTTAGGGGCCACAACGACCGACTTCCCCTCTGATGTGAATGGTTAGTATAGTTCTTCGAGAGCCATAAGGAAGCCACTATAGACGTGAAAAACCAAAGTTTATTGGCCGCCAAATTGAATATCAAGTATGATCTCTCTAATTTAATCAGCAAAGAGAGTTGCAATACAGCAACTCTGAGGTGGTTATGATACAAGACAGAAAGAAAAGCCTATTTTGCAATGTTCTCCCAACATTTTTCATTTGATGGGCAAAACTTGAGGAATAACTATATATCTATCCATCACCTTAAAACTTCACCCAAAAGGTAACATCTACACCTGCATTTTGATAACTTTTCTGTTTCTGGACAACACCAAGATGCAAAAGGATCACAGCGACTGTAAATGGGTCTCTGAATCATTGGAATGTGTTTCTCTTTCGGGTTCTCTTCTCTTGTGATAATGATCAGCAGGCTACCTGGCAGAAGAAGAGCTGTTATGAGACCTCCTAGGTAAAACAACTTCAAGTGATTGAATATGTATCCTACCATAGTACCATAAGGTAAGGAGAAATAAAGAACTATATAGATATGAATGGATAGAGACATACAGGTGAGGTAATAAAAGAAAACAAGGTAGCTTCCATTTTGATAATTCTATCTTTTACATGGTTTAAATGTAGGCGTTGATAAATGAGGCTAGATTAAGTTGAAAGCAGCCAACTGACCAAGCTAAAAAGTATTAAAATTACATGGTTTCCATGATCATTTGATGCTATTCCCAGCTTAACGTACAAATTAATGCAAAAGAATACATTACCCTAAATGCAATGTGGTGTCCGAGTTTCCCCTTTCAACTGTGTAGCTACAGGTCAGATCAGAGCTAGCAACACCATTGCTTGTGATACAATTCTTCCCTTCAATAGGACAATATTCGAGATAAGATGGAACTGATCGATTAGTTGATGGAAAGAAACCCTGAAGCTCCTCAACCTGCAATGCGTTGTATATAGTTCTTATCATAGTTGATTCAATGAAGCATAAGAAACTTAGTTGCAGAAACAATTTGCCTGTCTGTGCAAAGTCTCATTCTCTAGCATAGCCCGCTGCTCCTGCAAATAGAGATTAAAAGAAAATTAGTTAGACCAAATTTATAGTTTTTTGTCAAGTGACCAGTTATAAATCAATGGGCATCCTAATAGAGTGACTTTTACAATTTCTCAATCAGCTTGACATGCTTGAAGCTTTTGCAA